GATAGCTCGATGTATCGAACACGATCCAAGTAGATCCTCACTCTATCTCCGTTACGGTAAATTGAGGTTTAACGATATATAATTTCGTATTTTATAAAAAATTAAAAAAAATTTAAAATAATTACAGGTTACTAGTGAAGCCAAAACCCAGTTAGTTCACAATTATCTTGATTTCTTATTTATTTTTCTGTACTGTCTTACTTGCTTGATTTTCGTATAGTACATGTTCTTAATTTATAATTTAATAGTCTTATTAACTAATTTGATTATTTTAGTTATATACCGTCAGCATGAATGTACTTTAATTAATTTGTGAATGTGATATGAGATATTAGTATGCGTTTATTAGTTATTTGTTGATAAAACTCTATATGTGAAAGACTTGCTGGTTACCAAAGAAAGGGCAGATGAGCCTGGTACATAGGAAATCCTACCGTGAATGTTACCTCTGTCGGACGAGACTAGGAAGTCCTTTACCAAAAAAATTTGTGAGATATGGTTCAGTCTCATACTGGACGGGTATCGAGGTGATGAAATGTTTGGTGCTCATTACCAAACGGGGTATGAGAACGGTTGGTCAATTATAAAATTGGATATTGGGTTCACGAGTAGGGGAGACATCCCTTTGGACCCCAAGGGGTACCAGTAAGCAGGTAAGAAAGAAAAATTATTGTTTTTTGTTCTCTTATGCGTGAAAGTGAAAAGTGGTATGTATATGGGTCTTCATAAGTTATTTTTAAAAAACTCATTACGGTAAGTATCAAACAAACGTCTTCACGTTCAAAGGTATTTAAATAAAATAAGGGCTCTATTAGTTGTTTTTATAATTTTTACCAATCTTCAGTTTTTTGTATATTAATGTGATATTCTTACTACGCTAGTATAGCTTACCCTTTTATTAATTATTTCAGATCAAGAGGACCAGGATCTATATCCCGATCAGTAAGAGGGCTATGAGTAGTTCATCACTAAGACTCATTTTAAGTGCTAGTAAAGGTTGTCCTATGGTACTTTTGTATTCGTTCTTCTTTTCATTTCTTTAATTGCCATTTATCTTTTAGAAGAGACATTCATGTGGCCCTATTAGACATTCTAAATTATTGTGTAAGGAATGTAAACTTTAACTTTATTAATCACTTCCACATTTAATTTTATGAATTCATTTTCATTTAAGTTTCAGGCTTTTATAGTTGGTATCAGAGTCGCGTTTTTCAGAACCATTTCTTACACAAAGACTTAAAAACACTAAATACAAACTATCACTCAATCTTTTCTTGTGAAATACAGGTACAAGAAAATGAGGAGAGGAAGACCCCCACTAAACTGAGTAGCTCGGGATGACTCATTTTGAGAGGATGTTAACCGACTCTTTGAGATGCTAGAGAGACTCATCTTTGCCTAGTAGGCCCGGGAAGAAAGGAGGGAGCTGCCGACCCTCTCTCGCTGCCACAATTTGAGCCACCCTTGCAGTGGAAAGATCCAGAGCCACCCTGATACAACCCTACTCCTCTACCGTACCATCCAACACGACCACAGTACAATCTGGTGCCTTTACCATATCATTCGGCACTGCCACAGTATAACTCGGTGCTTCCACCATATCATCCAGCACCACCAAAAGGCCACCCGATCCCTCCCTAGCATAATCTAGTTCCCTTCTCATGGGACCTTGTTCCACCCATAATGGACCTAGGGTATATTGAAAGGTACAAAAGACTAAACTCATTTACCTTTGCAGGAGCATCCTCTTTTGAAGAGGCCGAGTATTAGTTAGCTGAGACAGAGCAGGCCTTCGCGACTCTT